CCTCCAGTGCACACAGCATTGTAGATGATTTTTGACACTTATCAGACAGAAGAAAAACCTCAATATGTATCAAACAGATCAGGTTGCCTTCAGGAACCTTTGTGAGCGCTGAGGATTCAATTTGTTTCCGGTTACTGAAAACACACTCTCACTTGGACAGTGGTTTTCGGACATAAGAGCTCCAGGGCAACCGGAGGGAGGGCACCCATTCTTTTTGTTATCCCAGTAGCTTAGAGGGTTAACAGTAGGGGAGAAGGAGGTTCAGAAAGGTAAACCATTTGAGCAGCACTAGTCTCCTATCTGGCGCTTGCTGTTTCAGTGGTTCCAACTATAAACCCACCTCTGCCTAACATGAAGCTTCTACACTCCTCTTGTTTGTGGTGCTATTACAATAACTATTTAGTTTACTAATTTGAGAATTGTCCTTTTATCTGAAAGCAGCAATGAGAATTTGCAGTGTAGAACTCAACTATAAAGTTATTTGTCCATAGGGATTTGGGACATGGCGCAGACTAATACTATCACCACTGCTATGTCCAGGTGTAGTGAGTCTGAGTGAAGGACTTTTAATATGAGAGCATATACCGTGTAACAAGCCATGCTCTCTTACATGGAACGGACATATTTAACCATAGTGCAAGAAGGTGACAAAGCTCAGTAGAGATTCTGTACAATATATTTCTTACATTTCTATACAAATATTTTTATTGAAGATTTTTCAAATAACAATCTATACAAATAGTTATAATATTGATTGACATTTCTAATTCAAAACGTTTGTAATAATACATAATTACATTCAAATATTATCCTCATAATCCTCTAATAAAGTGTTGTCTTCTTACGTGAAATCCATCATTTTGTGATTTTTCTTGCTTTATTCCAGATAAGCGATGAGATGCCTTCTTTTCTTGTGATCATCGTGTGTGTGTGTGTGTGTGCGATGATTCTCCCAGACAGGTGTCAAATCCTCTGTATCTACCACCACATAGTCTTTATATTTCGGTGCCAGTTGAGGTTGGTCTCTTGTCCTATTCATTTTAAATGCAGAAACCCATCCTATGGTACCTTGTCTAACTTCATTTCAAATACACCATGAGATTATTATTATTATTATGCTATTTATATAGCGCCATCAAATTCCGCAGCGCTTTACAAAGGGTGGACGAACAGACATGTAGTTGTAACCAGACAAGTTGGACACACAGGAACAGAGGGGTTGAGGGCCCTGCTCAATAAGCTTACATGCTAGAGGGAGTGGGGTAAAATGACACAAAAGGTAAGGATAGTATTAGACTAGTGACAGTTGCAGAAGAGGAATCAATCAGGAGCTAATAACAGTTTAATTGATACGCTTTTATGAAGAAGTGGGTTTTTAACGATTTTTTTGAAGGAGTGGAGACTGGGTGAGCATCTAACGGAGGAGGGAAGCGAGTTCCACAGGAACGGTGCAGCCCTTGAAAAATCTTGAAGGCGAGCATCAGAGGTGGGAGTACAGACAGAAGATAGACGTAAGTCTTCAGCAGATCGTAAGGGCCTAGGCGGGACATACTTGTGTATAAGGGAGGATAGATAGGTGGGAGCAGCATTATGTAGCGATTTGAAAGCAAGAACCAGAATTTTAAATTGAGCTCTATATTTTATAGTAAGCCAATGTAGGGACTGACAGAAGAGTGAGGCATGGGAGGTGCGGGCGGACAGAAGGATGAGCCTCGCCGCCGCATTCATTATGGACTGTAACGGCGCAAGTTGGGAGCACGTAAGACCACTGAGAAGCGGATTACAGTAGTCAAGGCGAGAAAGGACAGTGGAATGGACAAACACCTTAGTCGCATCTGGCGTTAAGTAGGGGCGGATGCGCGCAATGTTTTTGAGATGGAAATGACAGGATCTGGCGATAGACTTAACATGAGTCTTGAAGGAGAGGTTGGAGTCAAAGAGAACACCTAGGTAGCGAGCCTGCATGGTGGAGCTGATGGTAGCACCGTTGACTTGGAGGGAGACAGACACAGGAGTAACAACACTTGAGGGAGGAAAGACCAGAATTTCAGTTTTGGTTAAGTTTAGTTTAAGGAAGTTGGCAGCCATCCAATTAGAAACAGCAGAGAGGCAGTCAGACACTGGCCAAGAGGGACGGGGAGAGATCAGGAGAGGACAGGTAGATTTGCGTGTCATATGCATAGAAATGATATTGGAAGCCAAAGGAGCTAATGAGTTTACCAAGGGAGGCAGTATAGATGGAGAACAGTAGGGGACCAAGGACTGAACCTTGGGGTTCTACTTCTTGCAATTGTCCTGCATCAGGAACATTTGTAGCCCATCGTCACCCAGGTGTTTCATCCTCTATGTCTATTACTACATAATCTTTGCGACTTGGTGTTGATTCATTCCTATGTATTTCAAATGCAGAAATAAACGATAAAAGATTAGGATAATATATGGAAATAAAGTATCCTTCACATAAAATGTAATTAGAAGATGCACCAAACCGTCCCACACACTCCTAACCACTCTAATCACCACCATATCTTCATTACAACTCACCATTCCCTCTATTTAATATAAAATCTTACATACACTGCATAGCCCTGTAAAATATTATGGATGCTGCTCCAACATGGCTACTTTTCCCGTTAGAGCCCTAACCACATACATGGCCATCTGAAGCTGCATTTTCTAAATTAAAATGTCTATATTTATAATTGTAGAGTCACGTATTTTGCTACCATCTGTGAAATATGTAATATTTCATAGGTTCAGGATTGTGGATTTATTTAACCGTAATATTGTGTTATGTTTAATAATGTGAGGATTGTTCACTTTATTCACTTATTGCACCTGACATTTTCCCACCACAGCTTCACAGTACCCCAATATCCCGAAAGGTATGCTTTCCTGCAAACACTTTTAAAGGGTCATCTATAGTGGTAGCTTAAACATGGCATGACCATATAGGGCCGCCACTAGAAATTTTCGGGCCCCTAACACAACAAATGGTCTGGGCCCACCCACCCTACTTAACCACGCCCCCTCCCTTGCATAGTTATTTTATCCAGGTCTAGTTTCAAATATGATCATTCTTAATAGAAAGGAGTCTCTTCATCTATAGTTTGGCCTAAAAATAGTAAGCCTGCCACCACGTTTAGTTCACTAATGACAGAATCTAGTGCCACAAAGAAAACATTTACCTTAAATTCTTCTTAAGCAGGACCCTAACCTAACCTTGAAACAGTGAGGTCTATTAACTAAGCTGGGAATAGCTAATTAATTATTAGAGAAATCAAATATTGAAGCCAAATTAGCAGTTTTCCTGCAGTAGGTCAACTATTTTGCCCTTGAGTTAGAAAATCTATTAAAATTCCCTGTCTAGTGAATAGACCTCTGAATTGCAGAATTATGCTGGTGAAATCACGAATACATAACTCGGAACCTTAAATTTGTGGCCGCACTATTTCAAATTATATGATGTTACACTAAGCTATAGTGTCAGAAAGCTAAATTTCCATTTTTACATAGTAATTTAGGTTGAAAAAAACCTAGGCCCATCAAGTTCAACTTTTCTACCTATCCTTCCTGCTTTTGATCCAAAAGAAGGCAAAAGACCCCCCAAGTTAAGCTATTATGAATGCCACTTAGGGGGAAAAAATTCCTTCTTGACTCCAAAAGGCAATCAGAATTCTCCTTGGATCAAGAAGCTCTAAATATTAAGTTTTACTCTATTATTTATAGCCCTGTCTGTCATTTAGATATATCTAGAGTAGTGTAGTAGTGGTGTAAACTGTGTAAATATCAATGTCCCTATGTCCATGTATTGTCCTGAATGAAATCTGAAATACATTCTTTTACTTAAATAAGAGTCATTTACTTTTATTATTTGGCCAAACATATGAACTATGATGTGGCGAAACCGGCCTCGCCACGTGTCCTTGGAGGGGGCTGCTTGCCCGCCTCTTGCCTTTGGACTATGGACCAGACTTTATGTGAATGTGTTAACCCAGATAGCTATGCCATGGAGCCCATTCGTGTAGTTAAAGACTTCGGCTCCATGGCAATTGAACTGTGTGAATAGGATCTGAGAGCTCTTCGGTAGTTTTGTGCGCTCAGATCCCAGCTATCTGGGGATATGTGAAATGTCTGTGTGTTATGTGTAAAAGGCGACTTTATGTATTTTAAAGTGTTTTATGTCTTTTTGCAACCATGTGCTCAATGGAGTCTGCCTCTATCCCTGGATAATTGGATTACTTTCCCCCATTGTCTCCTGGATAGAGGGCTCTGTAAAACCTGTTTAAGATAGATACTTTAAGAAAGATACTTTTACTAACTTTTGAACCCCTGGTCGGATTCATGCCATTTTTTATATGTTGTTCCCCTGAATGGATTGATTGTGAATATGTAATTTTATTTGAATGTGATGTATGGTTTTAAAGTTACGAAAGTTGGGTAGAAAGTATGTTTTAACTGTATGTGTAATTGAGTTTCCTCTCAGGATAAGGGGAGGGAATATGTGGGATGTAACTGATATGTGATTGGTTGTTTTATACCTCCCTGTGGGCGATCCTGTATGTGAAAGACTGTAATAAAAACCAGGCTGGGTGTGCCAGCACAGGAGTTCCTGTTTTAACCCTCAAAGTGAAGTGTCGTCTCATTATTGGGGGAAGTATTTATTGTATGCTGTTCCAGTTTGACTGCTAGGAGGGTAAACCTCTCCGTATGGTTCCTGTTCGGCTGTATACAGCATTCATATGCTTGGGAGAATTTATTTGTTTCTCCGGTTCGGTGATTGTGGTATCTGCCAGAGTGCATGGAGTCCTCAGGAAGCGCTAGGAGCATCCTTCAACGGAGGTACCCAGTCGGGGTGCCAGGCGATCCGTTACATATGACTATACGGAAGAAGACTCCTTAACATAATTAATTTTAAATAATCATAAACAACTAAATTAGTCAATGTTTTATCTTACAATAACAATAACAATAACATTTTGATACAGCTAAGCACTATGTCACACACAATCAAAAAGTCTGAAGGCATGTGGGTAACCACCATACCTAAGAAGTTGGCAGAGTACAAATATAACGTGTCTGAAGAACATGATATACCATCTTCTTATTTTAAGTATGGCAAAATCTGTAATTAAGTCTTTGAAGTTAAGAGTGCGGGCAAGTTCATGCTCTATAGAAAGAATAGCAAGGCTGTTTAGACGATTTTCGCTCATTGTTGAACGCAGATAGTTTTTAATCAGAGATAGTTTACTAAACGCTCTCTCTCCTTCAGCCACAGAAAGTGGAAGATAAGCAAATATTCTGAGAGCAATGCAAAGCTGTAGCTTGTATATAGATTTCAGCAAATCCAGTGGACCCAAGCTGCTTGCAAATGTGGCATCAAAAACTTTGCGAAGGTGCTGAATTTCGCTTAACAGTGAAACTGTAAGATCTTCAGGGTATTTGGATATAAGATTTTCAGTGGATGTCACAAGTTCTTCATCCGATATTGTTCTAAATTTTAAAATGGGAGCAAATAAACTGCACACATTTTCCATAGAATTAAACCGTTGGTTTAGTTCACTAATGACAGAATCTAGTGCCACAAAGAAAACATTTACCTTAAATTCTTCTTCAGATTCTTGGTCTTCACTGCCCAATTCAGTGTGTTGTTTCTTCTGCCTTTGCCGGCTTCTCTGTGTTTTCAGTACCGTTGGTATTTCCAAATTACCTGCCACATGCTTAGCCTCAGAAAGTAGAGAAAGCCACCATTCCCGGAGTAATTGCATTTCCGCAGAAAGGGCCTTGATATTTTCTGCTCCAATTTCCAGTGAAATTGATCGGGACTGAAGAATTTTGTTCCTATCTTCAAAACATTGAAGAACTTTCACCCAGAAAGTTGCCAGGATGACAGCTTTGAAAGATGAAAAATAGTCTTTAAGGCCTACAGCTTCTGAATGAGCTTCACTTGAAAATTTTCTGGATGATAATATTTTCTCCAAGGATTCCAAAATGCTGGGAAGTTTTTGAGCAATAGGACGAACAGCTTCTATCCTGGCACTCCATCTGGTGTCACTCAGGCCATGCAATGAACCACCAGTCGTTTAATTCAAAATATTCCACCTCTCAGGACTTCCACTAAAAAGTGTGTATAGGCGATTCACACATCCCAAAAAGTGATCACATCAGGGCAGCATGATGCTGCATGCACACCCACAAGATTCAAGGAGTGTGAAGCACATGAACAAAATATAGCTTTCGGATACTTTTCCTGTATGCGAGCTCTGACTCCTTTATTTTTCCCAGACATATTGGCTCCATTGTCAAAGCCCTGACCTCTACAATCCTTGACATTGATGCCATGTTTGTGTAGTCTTGATAATAGCATTTCTGCTATTTCCTCTCCAGTCTTATGGAAGAAGTCAAAATATTTAATGAACCTTTCTTGAATAGTCCAGTCTTCAGACCCTGGTTCATTGTAGACATACCTTAAAACAATTACGTTTTGTTCTGTGTGTGAAACATCTGGTGTTGCATCACATATCACAGAAAAATAAATTCCCTTTTCTCTTTCTTTGAGTATTGTATTCAGAACATGCTTTCCACATAGGTTTATGAACTCATTTTGTGTTGCCCAGGATAAATAGTGTGCATGCAGTTTTTTTCCAGTCTCTTGACTTTTCTTCACTTCCTCTAAATGTTCTTGGAGCACTGGATCATAGTGTGCTATCAATTCAAGTAGACCAAGGAAATTACCATTGTGCTGGTCTCCAATTCTTTGCGAGCTTCCCCGAAAAGCCAGATTTCTTGATGCCAAAAACAAAGTTACATCCAGAAGTCTTTCTAACAAAGAAGAAAATTTGTTTGTTTCGGTTTCCAAACTTTTTTGCAGATTAGAATCCACACCATGCCCCGCCATGGACATTTGAAGTTTTCTCCAACTCCAGTAGTGTTGTTTATGAATAATGGAGTTTTCATGTTCTGGCAGTTTGATGTAAAGCAAATGCCACTTTTTTTTTTGATGGATCAAATCCTTCTTTCTTACAAAGCATGCTAGTCGCTTTGACACGATTAGACGAAAATGCCAAGCAGGTTACACAATACAGCACATTCTTGGTAGGACTCCACTTGAGCCAGTCCCGAATATGTCTCTCTCGTCCATTAGATGACTTTGAATATATGAGAAACTCACTAAAGGATTGTTCTTTATAATCTTTATCCATACCTTTAATCATTTCTTTTAGTTCCTCTTCTTTTCTTAGCCCACCAATCACAATTTTTCCCTGGTCTTTGTCTTTCAGAACATCTGGCCACAGAGCTGGATCTTTCCAATCCAATTCTTCCTGTACAATTTCCTGTGTGTTAGAAACGCTGCTTGGAGGTGGAGCTTCCATCTCTTCTCGTAACAGTTCAACTAGAGCTTCAGGGTCAGTTGTTTTAGATGTGCTGCAGCAAGCGATCTCCTTTTCTGGTTCTTGATGATGTACTTCATCTTCCTCAGAGTCAGTCTGCATTATAGTTGTTTGCTCCGTATGTTTTTCCTTTTTAAAATACTTCAATAATGGATTCTTCTTTTTCAGTTTTTCCTCCTCTTGCTCTCGTTCTCTGTTTTCTTTCCTCTTCTGCGCTAAAGACTTGTGCAGATGCATTTTGATGTATTTATTACGGACGGAACCGCACTTAGATCAATGAGCCAAACTACAGCTATTACTACAATATACAATACTGTGAAGAATTTCCAAAACCCCAAATACGTGATACTATATCAAATGTCAGTAAATAACAGTAAATATTTGTTTGCTCGCGAAAATGTATTAATGCTACCTAATAAGTGCAAAAGTCAAAATAAAAACAGACTCTCAAACAATGTAGAAAAAGGGTACGGTTAAAGGAAAACACAGAAAAAAGATTTAGTGGCAAGATGTATAAATGTAACTTTCAAAATTGTGCAAATTCAATTGCATATAAATAGACAAATGCAATAATATATTAGACAATATTATCAAAAACAAATAAATACTCAAATCATGTAGAACCAGACCTGAGTACCAATGGCTAACCTCACAAGGTAAAAATTTAAACTTTTAAAACTGTATAAATTTCACGAAAAAGTGCAAATAATTAATAAATATAAATATCAAAGCAAACAACTCATGAAACAATGAGCAAATATATACAAAAATGTGCAAATAGTGCAGTGCAAACAAATTTTACACAAATTGACTTGCTCAATGTGTTTTAATACAACTTACCAATGTAGTAATCTTCAGATGTCCTAGGAAGTTACAAGCACGTACGTG